CACATCATCTCTGATGAAATTCAGAATATAAGAGAGCAGTGAGAGCTGATAATCTGATTGAATAAATCTTTGAGCATTCAATAGATTTGATTAATAAGTCTGATTAATAAACATTCTTTAGAAAAGATATGAAACAGAAATCTATTATAGATCTAAGCTTCATATTATAAAATCTAATGAAAAGAAGACTTATAAACTGATTTATTGATTCAAATGAAACATCAGAATCAGATCATGAGATTATTCAATTTGATATTGAACTGAGTGAAAAATAAATGAGTGAAAATTCTCTTCTCTCTAATCAGTTTAAGTTTGAAAAAGCTGATTGAAAAGCAGTTGAAGCAAGTATAAAACTGTTAAAATCTGAAAGACAGAATAAGCTATATTGAAATTCTGATCAAGATATCTCAAATGAAATACTTGAGAATAGAGTGAAGCTTATTACATCTATTATTCTAATAAGTGTTAGAGATAATATTTCAAAGAGAAAATCTTCTAAGTATTTAAAATCTTAATGAAATGAGAATATCTTATCTAAAAGGAAAGAATTAGCTACTGCTAGAAGAGATTGAAAGAATGATGTAATATCTGATAAAGAGTTTAAAGCTGTCAGAAATGAATATTTTTCAGATATTAAAAGAGCTAAAACAGACTGCTGAAATAAATTTCTTGAAGAAGCATAAGAGAAGAAAGTTTTTAAAGCTTTTAACTATATTAAAACAAGAAGTGTAGTAAAACTTTCAGTCTTAGAATATGAGTTTCAGAATGAATCATATACAGCAAACTCTTTTGAGAAAAAATGTCAAGCTTTTATAAGAATTCTCTTTCAGAACTCATCAGATTCAGATTCAGATTCAGAGAAAGAGAATATATCACTTCTGAACTATATTAATGAAAATGACTGAGAATAGCCTGATCTTATATAAGATGAATTAGAGTCAGCTATCTTCTCAAGTTCTGTTAAAACTGCTGCAGGACCTGATTCAATTACTCACTTAATTATTCAAAATATATATTCCTACTTAAAGAATGAATATTTTAAGCTCTTTTTCAATCTCTTAACAAATGAATATCATTCTGAATGCTGAAGAGAAGTCACTAAAGTGATTCTTATAAAACCTAATAGAAAAACTTCAATTTCTAAGTCATATAAAGAAATATCTCTATTAAACTGTCTAGAAAAGATTTTGAAAAAGATAATAGCTACTTAACTATCTTTTATAAGCTCTATTAATAACTCTCTTTTATTCAGTGAATAAATAAGAGATAGAAAATAATGTTCTGTAATTAACACTGTTCTCTCAGTTATTCATGATATTTAAATAGCAAAGCATGAAGATCTGGTCTCAACTGTAGTTTTTATTGACATAAAAGAAGCATTTGATCATGTTTCAAAGTCAAAATTAATTCAGACTTTAAAGATGTTAAAACTGTTACTTTCTCTAATAAAATAAGTTAACTGTTTTATATCTAAAAGAATCATACAACTTTTCTTCAATGAAATGAAATAAGACAAGACTGAGATAAAAATAGAAGTGCTGTAAGAATCTTCAATCTCACTTATTTTATTTACAATATACACTGTATATCTATTCAAAGATAGAAATATGAAAATAGTGTGATCTCTAAGTTATATAGATGATATTAGTCTAGTCTACAGCTCAAAAACTATTAAAGAGAATTTGAAAGTAATTGAAAAAGCTGTAAAGAAAATCTTTGTCAGAGTAGATATCAATCAAATTTAATTTAATATGAATAAAACTGAGTTAATTCATTTCTTTTCTAGATTCAATGAGAAAGAACTATCTTTAACTCTTTTAAATAGAGAGATTAAACCCAGTTTAAATGTTAAATAATTAGAAGTATGATTAAACTCTAAGTTGAATTTTAAATATTATATTTAATAAAGAACTGTCAAGATAGAAAGACTATTGAATAACATTATCAGACTATTAAATACAGAGAGAGGTCTATTCTTTCAGACTATGAGATAGTTATATATAGTCTGTATTATCTCAGTAGCTGATTATGAAGTTCAAGTTTGAAGAAATAATCAAGAAAATTTCACTGAACTCTTTCAAAGTCTGTAAAACAGAGCTTTGAGAAGAATTCTGACAGTATTCAAATCATCTCCTATTAAAGCAATAAAAATTGAAGCTTCAATTCTTCCTTCTGCTATTAGATTTGAAAAGACCTATATGAACTATACTTTGAGAGTTATAAAGATGAGCTTAAATCATATAATCAGAGAAAGAGTCTCTTCCTGATTTTCATGAGTTAACTCTGAAAATGAACTGAATTGAAATAGATTTCTTGATTGAAATGAAAATAATTCTTCAAAGAAAATGTCTTCTCAACTGTACAGACTATACTCACTGATTAAAAATTAATTTTCTTCTTTAAATATTGAAAAAGTTGATCATGAGAAGTTATCTCTCTGAAGAGAAAAGCTTGAATCTCTTATAAACTTATAAATAAGTGAACTATCTAAAGAGAAAGAATATGAACAGCATTTAAAGAGAATTTCTACAATCAATATAAAAGACTCTATTCTGATTTATTCAGATGACTCAAAAAATGAGAATTTGAATAGATTAGATACAGGCATTGCTTATACTGAAGATAATATTAATTTTATCTCAGATTTCTGAAATTTAGGCTGTGAATCTGAAGTCTTTGATGCTGAATTATTTGTAATAGTGAAAGATTTCAAACTTATTAAAATAAAATCTCATAAAAGAGAAAATAGTTTGAAAGAGATATGAATATTCTCTGATAGTCAAGCTGCTTTAAAAAGACTTAGAAATAGTCAGATTTATAATGATTAAATGAATCTTAAACTGATCTTAAACTTCATTTTAAAAATTCAAAAGAGAAGAATATTAAAGCTGATAATTCATCTGAACTGAGTTCCTGCTCATATGAATATTCATGATAATGAATTGGCTGATTCAGCTGTAAACAAAGGTTCAGAATTAAGCAGATCTGTTCAAAAAATTGTGTCCTGGTCTTTTATAAAGAGAAAAATAAAAGAATCTTGTTTAGACAAGTGAAATGAAAGCTGGTAGAAATAAAAGAAGAGTATACATTATTCAAGATTTGAAATAAAACCCAAGTGAAAATCTTGTTCAATTAAATGTAAAAAGAAAATATTCTCATCTATAATACAGCTGAAATTAGAATATGGCTATTTCAAATCTTATATATAAAGATTTGATGATAGATTTGATTCAATAGAATGCTCATTCTGCAATGCAAATGAGAATTCTGAGTATATTGTAATACACTATGTATTATACAATAGTCTCAGAGTCAGATTGAAAGAGAAGTACAATCTAAATCAATTAAATATGAGATTCTTATTCTCAACTGAGACAGGAATTAAATACTTAATAGACTTTCTATCAGAAACTTAAGCAGCTACAAGAAAATGACTGAATTCAGAAATATCTGAATATGAAGAGGAGAAAATTGATCAGATATAGTCTGTTAAAACCACTATATACTATCTTTTAATAATTTGTTTCATTACAGTCTCTCATTATTTTACTTTATCTTTTTCTTTCTATTCTTTTCTATCTATCTATTTAATGTGTCTATCTTTAAGACTCTGTTCTCTTTTCTTTTGTCATGTCAAATGGTTTCAAAGTATCAGAAGATGTTAAAATACTGCAATTTGTAAACAGTTTTTGTATTCTGGGCTGGAATTTTCTGATTTTACATATCTGAAATTGATGAATGTATAATAGTTAACTGTGTAGATATAGGAAAAACCCTGAGAACTTTTAGTTCTCAGGTAGATGTCATAGTCTCTGACTGCATACATCTATAATTGAAGAATAATAATAATAATAATATCAAAGATTAATCTTCTCTCAGAATACTGACAGATCTGTATAGATAAACTATCAGTACTGTGAATCATGTTTAATATATAATGAGAAAAGTTCAAATTTCTGATAATATCATTTAGTCTGATAAATGCATCTGTTATCTTTTAAATAATAATGAATATAATTCTTCATAAACAGAATGAAATCTTATATCTCATATATCTGAATGATATTCTAGTCTTCTCAAACTTATATAATAAACATCTAAAGTATCTTTATAAAGTGCTTATACCTCTGACAGAGTATAAGCTCTACATCAAATCAACAAAGTATGTGTTTGAAATGAAAGAGTTAAAGTTCATAGAACATGTAGTGAGTGATAACTATATACATCCCATCTCAGAGAAATTGAATGTTATGTGATTCAAAGATTGCTTAAGCCAGTGTACAATTACAGGTGTACGCCGGCTTCTTATATATATTATCTAAATTAATTAGTGGCTGCTAGAGCCTCTTTACATTCATAAGTGTGTTCAGAAGTGTAAGCATGTTCAGAAGCAGCTATGTTATTATCTGATAATTATACATTCTTCTGAATCACATTCTCTCTCATCAGATTCAGTTACATGATCATAATCATTACATACATTCTAGCTTCATGCAGATTAGCACGCCACTAGTACTTGCAATAGTGTAGCCTATCTCTGATTCAGCTAGCATTCTGTATACACTCTCACAAAGAAACTTTCACTATATTATATTACTCATTCACTCACTTTTTCCTTTCTTCAATCATCTTCTTCATCATCATCATCAAATATCATCATCTTATTCAAGATGTCTACTTCTTCTTCTTCTATTCAACATCTTTTATCAGTTCATTTATTACATTGTATGCATTTCTGACAATAATCTCTCATTCTCACAATAAGTATCATTGTAGTGTCTATATCAGGCAGTTCATTAGCAGTAAGTGTAATGCATTGTGAAATGTGATCAGGACTTGTTTTCTTCTAACAATTATCAGAATATATTATCATGAATAACACATCTTCTTTATCTTTTTATATACTCTCAACTATTTTTCTTCTCAGTGAGCTTCTGATCATGTTTTCTAACGTAATTTTGCATGAATACAGATGCTAATGTTTGTTTTTATTTGTATAGAATCTTCACATGTTGATAGATTCACATTCACTGATAATAGTGAATATCTCAATATTGAATCATTGATCAAAAACTTGAAGAACATGATAATGAAGGAATTATTCATACTATATATAACTGAGTCTCTTATATTCTCTTCTGTCTCTTCTACTGCTGTTTCTCTCTCTGCTGCTCTCTCTCAATCTTCTATTCTTCTCCCTGTTTTCAGTTCTCTCACTTTCACTATCTCTGTTCTCATGACTCTTACTTCTGCTACTTCTTCTCTCTCTGTCTCTGCTGCTGCTTCTGCTTTTATTATCAGCTCTTCTTATTTCAAGAAGATGTTATATAGACTTGATAAATTATGTTTCTCAGTATATATACTCTCATTCTTCTTATCAACCTCTAAAATGATTTATTATATAAAGACTGTATATGATATAACTATCTGAAGCTCAGTCACAGATGCTGATTATTATATTTATTTTAAATATTCATGATAAGATAATTATTCATTTGTATCAGAGAATCATTTCTCTTCTTAATAGTGTTAAAATCATAAGTCTTTTTCTTTTTTATCTATTCTTTCTGATGCTGATTTTCCTGTTCTTAGAGAAAATTATTATGAGTTTTATTATATATAAAGTTGTGATATTCACAGATATCAAGAAACTTTTCATAACTGTTAAATTCAATATTACAGGTATATCTGCTCTGATAAATTTCTTTGAGATAGTAGATCTGTATCAGCCTATTCTCTGATATCTGGTATTTAACTTTGTGATGCATGTGAAAGATATCTGTGTTTTCAGAAATGAAAATACAGATATTATACTCTTTTACACTCATAGATATGAGACTTATACATCTTATCTGAGATGTTGTTATAAGAATGAGCTGTTCACATGCTGTGTTCTACTTTCTGTATTTCTCTGTGTCTCTCTCTCTCTTTCTGAGAAGCCTTGTACATGTTGTAATTATATATACAACTCTAAGATCAGTGAGTGTTCATTTAAATACTATTTTCATCTCTGATTTTACAGTTTTTATACACTAATAATAATTCTTAGTTGCTTCAGTGTCAGAGATTATTCTAATTAAAGATAATCATACTGCTGAGACTACTCTCTCTTATCTTTAAGTTTCTTCTGTCACTTTCTCTTTCTCTTCTGCAGAGAAGGTTGTGTATATACTGAGTTATAAGTATTCAGCTCTGAGTAGCTTCTGCTGTCATTTATCTGATTCTGTATCTTCTTCTTCTTTGATTTCTTCTGTCTCTGTTCTCTCTGTCTTAGCTTCTAGTTCTGCAAGTTCTGTGCTCTTCTTTAATTTTTCTACACACACATATATACATTTCTATATTGACATTCCAGTTAATCTTGTGATAAATTACATTGATGTCATACATAGAGTGATAGAGAAATCAGAGACATATATGATATTATTATGAGAGTAACTTACAGCTCTTGAATTTCTTATGAATCTTGAGTTTTGAGATTTTCTTTATTTTTAACATTTTTCAGGTGATGTGATATTGAAAATAGATTAAATGTGTGATATATGAAAATGAATAAGATATGTATAATAACATTTGTCTTTTACAGCTAACTCTTACAGTTAATAATCAATTCATTATCTCTTCTCTTTCTTACACTTTTTCTTTATCTGCTACTCACTACTCTTATACAATCTCTATATAATACAGTGTTCAATGACTAGGTTTAGCAGCTTTCATCTTGTGATTCTGTCTCATGTATTATACTGTCTCTCTTCACTCACTCAGATCACTACAGTGAACAGCTTATTGAAACTAATCTCACTCAATCTCTGAGTGTCTTCAGGGATTGAGATGACTTAATCTTACATATTTATAAATATTTCAGATGCTTCATCCTCTGTTATCTCTATAATTAAACTGATATAAACAGTCAAATTCAACTCTGAATTTCTTTTTCTTCTGTAATCTGATTCATGTGTAAGTCTGCTGCTCTGAGACTGCTCTTTGCTATGTTATATTCACTGTTTATAACATATTATCATATAACTGACTACAGTTTTATAACTTATTAAAGTGTGATATTCATCTGATTTCTTCATTACTTCTCATTCTTTTCTTATAATTATGAAAAGATTGAAATAAGTGAGATCATCTGATTTGTAAGTATCTATGATTTCTCTTACTTCATAAGACTTTTTAATTATAAGTCTCTTCTTTTTCAACACTGATAATAGTGTTGTGAATAACTATAATTCACTCAGATCTTGTATCTTTGTCTTCATAAGATATGAATAATTTATTAAGTTATGTAAGATCTATTTCTCTGATTCTTTCAATGTATATGTTCTCAGAGAATGTGATTTAAGTATTTTATATAACTTAAATTATCTAGATTAAAACTTCTCAGAACTCTTATTACATACAAGAACTTATATTCTTATCTTGAGACTCAATTTCTTAACTAGTGAGTCTCATATTCTTTTGAATTGAATTGCTCAGTTCAGGAGTAACTTGTTAGCTTTTACACATGCATGACTGATCTCTTTCAATCTTAGTTTCATGTCTATGACTGCTGTGTCTGCAACTGATACTACTGTATCTATAACTGCTGTTTCTGCTGCATCTGTGACTGTTGCATTCACAACTGCTGTTCTCTTTCTCATCTTTTCTGAAGTATTCTCTGAGATGCGTGAATGCAGTTCATACAACAGATAGAATGATGAACACTTGAAGACTGCATGCTGCTGAATTCATGTGACTAATAGTATCTGACTGAGATATTCATCTCATAATCTTGTAGACTTGCTCACTAGATATTTCATCAGCATATTACTCAGGATTTCATTCAAGTATTTCATCTTTCTATTTATTCACAGATGATATGACATTGTTCTACAATATCTTATCTGTAACTGGCTTATGAAATACCTCACTGCTTCTTCTATAAGATTTACATTATTATCAGTTAGAATCTCACACAGCATTTCATACTTGATATAGATCTCATTATATAGAAACTTTATTACTATCTTCTCTATTATCTCTGAAACTGCTTTTACAACTGATCAGTCAGTAGTGTAGTCAATAGTAGTGATTATTCAATAATTTCTATTTAATGTTCACAGTAATATATCTATAAGATTCACTTCTCATTATTTGAATAGTTGTATTGTACATTCTATCTGATGTTATACTTTCTTATGTTCTAATTCTTTCTTAGATTCTTTCACAATCTGATAATTCAGACACTTGTGAGTGTATATCTGAATGTTCTCAATCATACTTAGTCAGTATACTCTTAATTCAAGTACATTTATGAGTTTAGAGCTTTCTAAGTGACTGAATTTCTTGTATATGTAAGTTATTAAGTCACATCTAAATAAATGTTCTAGATAGAGAGCTTTCATATACTCTAGATTGTGATAAAAAATAACATCATTTTTCAATTTTCTCAGCTTGAAGTTCAGAAGCATCTCTTCTATCACTTTTATAAAATACTTATTATCCGACATCTTATCATTCTCTAAGTAAGAGATTATTATGTTCACTTATTCTGATTTCTTGTATTCTCTTAGTATGTTTAATACAGACTTCTCTTATATCTGATTCACAGAACTCTTATCTATGAAATTGAGTCTGTAACTGATTACATCAGGCATCACAGTGTTCAATTTCTTTCAGTATTTAATATGAAGATTGTATACTTAAAACTCTGAGATTCAACATACTAAGTATTTGAAAGGTTTTATTATTGATTGTAGATAGACAAGGCTTTTATAATCTATGATCACTATTGTCATATATCTGTTATTAATATATCTATTTCATAACATCAGTGCATACTTAATTGCTAGCAATTCCTTTTCATATACTGAGTAATTGAGCTCAGTGCTCAATAGTTTTCTACTATTATATGTCACTAAGTGCAGCTTGCTGTTCTTGCTCATCTGTAGAAAAGTGTCTCTGATAGCTTATTCAGATACATCTGTCTTAATATAGAAAGATTTATCACAATCTAATTCAATAAGTACTGAGAATGTTATTACATGTTTTCTCAGTGTGAGAAAGACCTCTTTATACACAGTATTTTAGATAATTGACTGAAACTTCTTCTTCTGCAGATTAGTATTCATTTCTCTTAAGAGATCTAAGAGTGATGCAGCTATTCATGTGAAATCCTTGATAAATCTGCAGTAGTATGAGATCAATTCAAGAAATTATCATATATGATATATGTTTCTCAGCTGCAGTCAATTTGCTATAACATTTAATTTCTTCAGAATGAGATGTATACAGTTATCACTTATCACATATTTTATAAACTTCAACTCTTTCATTTCAAATACATACTTGATTGATTTGATATAGAGCTTATACTCTGTTAGAGTTGTAAGCACTTTATCAAGATACTTCAGATATTTATTATATAAGTTTGAGAAGACTAGAATGTTATTTAGATATATAAGATATGAGATTCTATTCTATTTATAAAGAATTGTATTCATCATCATTTGAAAGATGACAGGCATATTTATCAGACTGAATATCATTATTAGAAATTCACACTTCTCTTATTATATATTAAATGCAGTTTGCAGTACTGACAGTTCATCTATACAGATCTGTCAATATTCTGAGAGAAGATTAATCTTTAATAGATATCAGACATTTTCAACTGTATTCAACTGTTGTTGAATTCATAGTAATGAGTATCTATTCTTGATCATAAGCTTGTTAAGTGCTTGATAATCAATACACATTTATCACTTCTCATCTATCTTTTTCATAAATAGAACTGAGAAACCTCACACACTTGATGAGAGTTGTATGAGATTATATTTTGAAAGGTCCGTGATCTGATACTTCTGTTCTTCAAGATATGTCTGTGACAGAGAGTATGCATTTTAATTGACTGATTTCATATCTTTCATGTTAATCTCATATACAAATTCTCATTTCAGTAGCAATTCTGATGAAAGATCTGTTTAGAAGATCTTTTTATACTTCTTCAGAAGTTTCTTTATACACTTGTTCTCTTATATATTCTTTATCTTGATTTTCTTCACTTTCAAGTCCTGTATGATATACAGAATACTTTCAGATGAGGTCTTGTAAATCATTCTCTTTGCTTATTAATGCATAAGCAGATTTAGTCCTTCTATATCAGAGATGTGAAATGTTCTTCTTACATCAGTTGATAGAATTATATGCACTGTTTTCTTCTTATCAGTTAACTGTATATAACATGTACATCATTGAATCTGTGAATTGAATCTTTGAAACTAATTAAGTCTGAGAATAAGATTGTATTTCATGTTCTATAGCTCTCACACTCAGATATAGCAAGATCATTCTTCAAAGTGTAAGAGAACTCTTACTCTTGCAGGTAATACTAAATATCAGTTATCAGACAATCTTATATATCAGGGATTCTTTACTCAGTGAATCTCTTTCAGTTATTAAATTATATAATTATTAATATATTACATAGACACTTCTATGTCTGCTAATACTTTTACAGTCATCTCTCTATTCTTACTTAAGTGTCTTCTATACACTAACATTTTAGGTCTCAAGGCATTGAGATGAGTGTCTGCTTCATTCTCACTCATATCTCAGTCAGAAGCCTGCTTTCTCTTGATATTCATAGAATTCAGAGAGTCATCTAATACAGACATCTCTTTCACTTTGAAGACTTTTTATAGAATATCAGTGAGTGTCTCTGAGCTCACTGATTCTACTAGTTTTTTGACTTTCTTAACTGTGTGTGCTATGTGCAATCTTTTATATCATGATTTTAACATCTGCAGTTGAAGCAAGCTTAATACTCATAATATCAAGATTTTCACTCAGAGAATTTCTTTTTCAGAGGATTCAGCACTTTAGCAATGACATTCAAATCTAGATTCATTATATTCAGATGTGTGACTTGTGTTATAGAAGTCTGATTATTTATTCTTCACTGAGATATACTTGATTGCAGTATTTTCTATCATAATTGACTTTCTTATTTCTGTACAATGAGAATATTATATGCTTCTTTTGTTATGCCTGATTACAAGGTTAAGCATTTTCATTTCACTCTCAACTTAAGTATAAGATTATGAATGAAGATCTGTAAACAGAAAGATGTTAAAAGCTCTTTATTCAATGTGAGATAGTGTAAACTGAAGTTTGTAAAGTATAATGTAAGATCACTTACTTATCTACACTCAGTGAAGTGTTTATAATGCTTGTCTCACATGTTCACTTTCTCAAAGTTATACAAGATTCATTTGAAAAACTCATTTCATATTTATAAGAATGAATATCATTCTGAGTCTGTGAGATTCATCTTTTCATCAGTTATTTATAATGACTTCACTTTTTCACATAGAAATACAGCAGATGTTAAGACTTGTTGAAATTTCATTGACTGTCTGTCTGTGAGTTCATATTCAATCTAATAATATGATTGCATCTGACTTAGTCAGCTGATTGCAGCATTATTTTTTCAGTCATCATTGAAGCTTAATGACTTCAGCAGATCTCTTAGCTTGATATATTTCATACTCAGATTCTCATTCTGCACAGCAGTCTCAGATGATGTGTACACTTCTGATGAGATTGTGAATAATTGTGATGAGATCTTCAGGTTCAGCACAGTCACCTGTTTGTGTAAATATTCAATCTCTCACTGCAGATCTATGACCTGGTTTTCCCTATTCTTATTAATAATGATAATTGTATTGATAAAGCTCTTCATAGTAAATACTTAATCTGTGATGAATATCAATTATTGCTTGACTTCTGTCTCAGTCTGTCACTGTGTACACAAGACCTCAATCTTGTTTAGAATTCTCATATACATATGAAGCTTTAATTCTGGTTCAGCAGTCTCAGCTGCTTTTCTTACTGCTTTAAGTAAACTCTCTAAGAGGTTCTGCATACCTTCCAGTTCAGAAAGCAGAGAAGAGTGTTTGTATTAACTAGTGAAGATGTTCATTTCAGTGATTTCTCATTAATTGTACAATGTCTATCATTATATTGTCATATGATTATATCATTATATGATTTTTAATTTCCATTTTCTGTTATTCTCATACAACTCTGATGATAGTCACTTCTCTTTTATTCTTCTGAATAGAGAGCAGTCTTCTTTGAATCTGATTCATCACTCTCATTTCTTTTCTTACATCTCATTTATTTGCATATGTGACATTCATCTGAGCATGAAGTTTTTCTTTAATAAGCAGAGTAGTATCAATCAGATGCTCTTCTGCTTACTGCTTCTTCATATGCTATCTTTTGAGATGTTTTAGAACCACACTGATATGATAACTATGAATCACTTTGTAGATCAAATTATCACACTCTGAAGAAGCCTGCACTTCTCACTAATTTTTAGACATGCTATCAGATGTGATTCAAAGATTGCTTAAGCCAGTGTATGATTACAGGCGTACACCGGCTTCTTATATATATTATCTAAATTAATTAGTGGTCACTAGGGCCCATTTACATTCATAAGTGTGTTTGAAAGTGTAAGGATGTTCAGAAGCGGCCGTGTTATTATCCGGCAGTCATATGTTCTCCCAAACCACAGTTATAGTGAATTGACTGTAGTTAAGAAATATACATCATGTATAATAGTTTCTTGAATTAATCTTATATTATCACAGATTCATTAAAGATTTTACATAAATAACTATATCACTCTCAAATCTCTTAAGAAAAACAGATATTAACCTGCAGAAGAAGAAGTTTCATTTAATCATCTGAAATATTATATACAAAGAGATCTTTCTCACACTGAGAAAATGTGTGATAATATTCTCAGTACTGATTCAATCAGATTATGAAAAATCTTTCTATATTAAGACAGATGCATCTGAATGAGCTATCAGAGACACTCTTCTGTAAATAGATAAGAATAGCAAGCTGCACTCAGTGATATATAATGACAGAAAACTATCAGATATCAAGCTCAATTACTCAGTGTATAAAAAGAAATTACTAGCAATCAAGCACACACTGGTATTATAAGGTGAATATATTGATAATGAGTATACAATAACAGTGATTACAGATTACAAAAGTCTCATCTATCTACAATTAACAATGAAATCTTTCAAATACTTAGTATATTAAATCTTGAAGTTCCAAGCATATAATCTTCATATCAAATACTGAAAGAGATTGAATACTGTAATATCTGATACAATTAGTCACAGATCTGATTTCATAAGTGAGAATTCTGTAAATCAAATATAAGAGAAGTTTGTATTAAACACACTGAGAAAATGTAAGAAATTAGAATGAGTAAATATAATAATCTCTCACTTGAAGAATAGCAAGATATTAAATGGTAAGCATCTTATAAAAGTAGTAGAAGAGATACTTTCAAACTTCAAGCTGAAGAAATTGAAAAATAATATAATACTTTACTGTGATCTAGAATACGTGAAAGCTCTCTATCTGAAACATTTATTTAGATACAACTTGATCACTTAAATACATAAGAAATTCAGTCACTTAGAAAGCTCTGAACTCATGAGTAGACTGACCGTGTGATCATGTCTGGGACCAGAACCAGATTTTTTGATAGTCTTATTACCAATTCGACTGATTCCATTACACGGTTTTAACATTAGATAGTAGTCTCATACTGTCTCAGTGAGACTTACTGTCTACTCTTGTCACATTTTTCAAATGAGACCATGATTTCCACTTCTCAATTTAAATTATTTTTATTGCTTTAAATGACTTTAAATCTCATTTGAGTGTTACCAAAAAGTGTTACTTTTTAAAAAATTAAAAATAGTCTAAAAAAAACCTTAAAATGTCTAAAAATAGTAACTGTATGCCAAGAATGAGACTAAATGAAATCAAATAGAATCACTTTCTCATTTTTTTCAAGTCATGGTTCCATTTTAAGATCTGATATATAGTCACTTTACATGTTTTTTTGATAGTCAGTCCCAGCGGGATTCACGCCAAGAAATGTATAGGACCAGACTAAATGGGACCAAACGTGAAATTCATGGTCCCGGCGGCCAGTCTACTCATGAGTGTACTTGAATCAAGAGTGTACTGATCAAGCATGACTGAGAACATTTAGATATATACTCATGAGTACCTGAATTGCCAGGTCACAAAGAGATTTAAGAGAGAATTAGAATATAAAAAAGTATAACATCAGATGAAATATACAATACAATTATTCAAATAATGAGAGATGAATCTCATAGATATACTGTTACAAATATCAAATGAAAATCATTGAATAATCACTGCTATTAACTACACTACTAACTGATCAGTTACAAAAGCAGTTTCAGAGATAATAGAGAAGATGATAATGAAGTTTCTACATAATGAGATATATGTTAACTATGAAATGCCACATAAGATTCTAACTGATAATAGTGTAAATCTCATAGAAGAAGCAGTGAGATATTTCATGAGTCAGTTACAGATAAGATATTATAGAACAATATCATATTATTCACAGATGAATAGAAAGATAAAGCACTTGAATAAAATTCTGAGCAATATGCTGATGAAATATCTAGTGAGCAAGTCTATAAGATTATAAGATGAATATCTCAGTCAGACACTATTAGTCACATAAATTTAGCAGTATGCAGTCTTTAAGTATTTATCATTCTATCTGTTGTATGAATTGTATCCATGCATCTCAGAGAATACTTCAGAGAAGATAAGAGAGAGAATAGCAGTTACAGATATAATGGTCACAGATACAGCAGTTGCAGATGCAGAATCAAGATTAAAAGAAATCAGTCATATACATACAAAAGCTAATAAGTTACTTCAGAACTGAGTAATTTAATCAAAAAGAATATAAGACTCACTAGTTAAGAAATTGAGTCTCAAGATGAGAATATAAGTTCTTATATATAATAAAAGTTCTGAGAAGTTGTAATCTAGATGATTTGAGCTCTATAAAATACTCAAATCACATTCTCTGAAAATATATGTATTGAAGAAATCAGAGAGACAGATCTTATACAACTTAGTAAATAATTAATATCTGATAGAGATGAAAATATAAGATCTGAGTAGATTATAATCATCTACAGCACTATTATCAGTGTTGAAAAAGAAGAAGCTTATAATTAAAAAGTCTTATAAAGTAAGAGAAATCATAGATGCTTATAAATTAGATAATCTCACTTATTTCAATCTTTTCATGATTATAAGAAAAGAATGAAAAGCAATAAAGAAATCAGATGAATATCACACTTCAATAAGTAATAAGACTGTAGTCAGTCATATAATAATATACTACAGACAGTAGATGTAATACAGTAAAGAGTAGTCTCAAAGCAGCAGACTTATACATGAGTCAGATTATAGAAGAAAAAGAAATTCAGAGTTGAATTTAACTGTCTATATCAGTTCAATTACAGAGATAATAAAGAATAAGATATCTGAAACATCTGCAGATATATAAGACTAAGCTATCTCAATCTCTGAGAACACTCAGAGATCAGATAAGATTAGTTTCAATAAGCTGTTTACTATAGTAGTCTGAGCAGGTGAAGAGAGATAGTATAATGCATAAGACAGAATCATAAGAGATGAAAGCTGTCAAACCTAGTCACTGAACACTGTATTATATAGAGATCATATAAGAGTAGTGACTAGCAGACAAAGAAAAAGCATAAGAGAGAAGAGATAATAAATAATGAATTAATTATTAATTATAAGAATAGGCTGTAAAGAGATAAATGTTATTATACACACTTTATTCATTTCCATACATTACATGTTTAATCTATTTTCAATGTCACATCACTTGAAAAACATCAAAAATAAAGGAAATCTTAAAACTTGAGATCTGTAAGAGATTTAAGAGCTGTAAGTCACTCTCATAATAACATTATATATATCTCTGATTTCTCTATCACTCTGCATACAACATTAATGTCATTTATTACAAGATTGACTGAAATGCCAATATAAGAATATGTATATATATGTGTAGAAAAAGTGAAGAAAAGCATAGAACTCACAGAATCAGAAGTCAGAATAGAGAGAATGAAGACAGAAGAAACTGAAGAAGAAGGTATAGAACTGAATAAATAATAGCAGAAGTCATCTGAAGCTGAATACTTCTAATCTGATATATACACAATCTTCTCTGCAGAAAAGAAAGAGAAAATAACAGAAGAAGCTTAAGAGCAGAAGAGAGTAGTTTCAGCAGTATTATTATCTTCAATTAGAATAATCTCTAATACTGAAGCAACTAAGAATTATTATTAGTATATGAAAACTGTAAAATCAGAGATGAGAATAGTTACTGAATAAATACTCACTGATCTTAGAGTTGTATGTGTAATTACAACACATACAAGACTTCTCAGAAAGAGAGAGAGAGATACAGAGAAATGCAGAAAGCAGAACACAGTATATAAACAGCTCATTCTTATAATAATATCTCAGATAAAACATACAAGTCTCATATCTGCAGGTGTAAAAAAGTATAATATCTGTATTCTTATTTCTGAAAACACAGATATTCTTTTTCTGCATTATAAAGTCAGATAATAAATATCAGAGAATAGACTGATATAAGTCAATCATTCTGAAGATATTTATCAGAGTAGATATATCTGTAATATTGAATTTAATAATTATAAAAAGTTCCTTAGTATTCATGAATATTATGACTTTGTATATAATAAAACCTATAATTATTTTCTCTAAGAATAGAAAAATCAGTGTTAGAAAGAAAAGATGAAAAAAGAAAAGACTTACAATCTTAACACTGTTAAGAAGAGAGATGATTCTTCAGTATAAATAAATAATTACTTTATCATGAATATATAAAATAAAAATAATAATCAGTATCTGCAACTGAGCTTCAGATAGTTATATTATACACAGTCTTTATATAATAAATTATTTTAGAGATCAGTAAGAAGAGTGAGAGTATATATACTGAGAAATGTGATTTATCAAGTCTATACAATATCTTCTGAAAATGAAAAGAGCTGATAATGAAGACAGAAGCAGTAGAGGCAGAGAAAGCAGAAGTAGTAAGAGTAGAAGTGAAAGTTACAGAAACAGAGATAGTGAGAGTGAGAGAATCAGATACAGAGACAAGTGTAGAAGATTGAGAGAGAGTAGCAGAGAAAGAAACAGAGAGAGCAGAGAGAGATATAAAAGACTCAGTTATATATAACACAGATAATTTCTTCATTATCACATTCTTCAAGTTCTTAATCAATGATTTAAAATTGAAATGTTCACTATTATCTATAAATGTGAATCTGTCAATGTGTGAAGATTCTACACAAATTAAAATAAACATATCAGTATCTGTGTTCATGCAAAACATGATCAGAAAACATGATCAGAAAACATAATTAGATACTCACTGAGAAAAGAAGATCAAGAGTGTATAAGAAGATAAAGAAGATGTGTCATTCATAATAGTATATTCTAGCAATTGTTAGAAGATAAACAAGTTCTAGCTATATTTCATAACACATTATACTTACTGCTAATAAACTACCTGATATAAGTACTACAAGAACACTTGTTATAGAAAAAAGAAGTCATTGCCAGAAACATGTATAATGTAATAGATAAACAGATAGAAGATGTTGAATAGAAGAAGAAGTAGAAATCTTAACTGAGATAATAGCATTTAATAATGATAATGATGAAGAAGATAATTAGAGAATGAAAAAAGTTAGTAAATAAGTGATATAATATAGTAAAAGTTTCTTTATAAGAGTGTATGCAGAATGCTAAACAGAGATAGACTATACAATTGTGAATGCTAATGATGTGCTAATCTGCATAAAGCTAGAGTGTATATTATGATTATATAAGGGTGACTAAATCTGATGAGAAAGAATGTGATTTAAAAGAACATACAATCACTGAATAATAACACAGTCACTTCTCAATATACTTGCAAATGTAGAGCGGTCATAGCGGCCACTAATTAATTTAGTATAACATATATAAGAAGCCGGTATACATCTGTAATTATACACTGACTCAAGCAACCTTTGAATCACACTATAGATAATTTATCTTTATATTTATAAGAATCTTCTTAACTCTTACAGACATGCTGAAGAGTGAAAATAAGAAGAAGTTATCTTATAAATAAAGAATGAAAAGATTATTAAGAAGAGAGAGCTGTGAGAACTTTCTTATATCAGAAGCTTATAAGATCTTTATAAGATTAAAACAGATATTTATAGATAGACTGATCACTGAAACTATGAATTTCATATTTAATCTTATTTAATTTAATCTTATACATTTCTTAGCGTGATTCCCGCTGGGACTAATCTTTAAAAAAACATATAAAGTGACTATTTATCAGATCTTAAAATGAAATCATGACTTAGAAAAAATAAGAAAGTAATCTTATTTAATCTCATTTAGTCTCATTCTTAATACAAAGTTACTATTTTTAGACATTTTAAGGTTTTCTTTAAACTATTTTTAATTTTTTAAAAAGTAACACTTTTTGATAACACTTAAATAAGATTTAAAGTCATTTAAAGTAATAAAAAGAATTTAAATTAAGAAGTGAAAATCATGATCTTATTTAAAAAATGTAATAAGAGTAGATAGTAAGTCTCACTGAGACAGTATAAAACTACTATCTAATCTTAAAACTGTGTAATGAGATTAGTTAAATTGATAATAAGACTATTAAATATTCTGATTCTGGTTTCAGACATGGTCACACGGTCAGTCTATTTATAGATATAGTGATACTGCTTCACTTTGATCTCTTACTCTTAATTAGATTGAAAACAGATATCTTCTTCTTTATAATTTCAGAAATAGTCTCATAACTATAGTTAAATAGAAACTGAGTTTTAGTAATCTTTTTCTTATAGAAGATATAATCTACGAAGATTAACTATAACATTTATAATTGAAAGCATCTTATAATAGTGAAATTCTTCTATCACTGATATTACTACTTTAAGAGTCTTATAACAGTGATTACTATTAGAACTAATTATAATAGCTCATAATAGTTTACTTTAATTAAGAAACTCTCACAGTAGTAAATTCACTGAGCTCAGAAACTGAGTGAGTTCTGATTCAAGATAGAGTATATTAAGAAAACTAAGATCTCATTGAATAAACTCTCTCACAGATCTGACTATGTCAAGAAGATTAGAATAACAGATATAGAGAGACTAGAGAAGACAGAAAAGCTTCACAGAATACTTAAACTCAGTGTTATAAAGAGATTAACTGAAGAGTCTCTCAATTCTTTATAAGAGAAGAGAAGAGAGAGAGAGAAGAGATCTATACAAGTACTCTCTATAATACTAAGAGTTAACACTCTAAGAATCTTCACAAAGATTCTCAGAGAGAGTATAATTTGAAGAGTTTACAGACTTTGAGAAGCACTGTAAAGAATCTGATATAAAAGAAAACAGAGTATAAGTCTTTATAAAATCTTCTATTCAGATTATCAGAACTGTAACTGAAGAATGAATATACTCAGTATATTCAGAAACTGCTTATAATAGAAATTAATCCTAAAGAAACAAAGAATTA